CTTCATGACTGTGTCCAGGATCATTAAGTGGCTGCCAGATAAAAAACTTCATGAATGTGTCCATGATCATTAAGTGGCTGTCAGATAAAAAAAACTTCATGAATGTGTCCCTATAAATCGCTATTAGATGACTGTCTGATAAAATGAGAGATAGATTATGATTACCGATAGGAGAGAGTTGGAGGTGGCAGTGTCATATAAATTGTTGTGCTGTGGGAGAGGGTTCTTGACTATTACAGGGGATGGTTTAGTAATTGTCTCACAACCCCGTCAAGAATTTACAGAAACGTTGCCTTTTTTAAACGCTTTTAAGGTCCATGAGAATTTCTCCCATCGTGACCGGTCATTGCGCTGTGACCTAGTTCTAGTTCCATGATGGGTGATCAATTTTCAATGGCACTTTCTTTTTTTTATTTATTTAATAAGAATATGTGACGTCTGAAACATGTGGGATTAAAATGTAACAATTTTTATATGTATGGCTGAAATTCTTTGGTAATAACAATCAGTTGCCGACGGTAAACGGAAGAGCCCAATCACTTACGTTTCTCGTGTTGTTTACGCGGATGAATACCTACTCTTACCGTGCGTGGTTGGTTCTGTATACCGTATCGTACCGAATCGAGCAAAGCTATGTGAAGTTTTTATCTCGGAAAACTTACTCCAATGTTCAGTCACTTATGGCGATCCAACCTTCAGAAGCCAAACCGTGGATGTTATTGCTGTTCTGTGGATTGTTTTCGTCGGGTAGGTATCTCTGTTTTTCTTTAACGGCGTGCTTTTTAAGCGGGTTCCGTGAAGCCTCTGGCAGCCGAGTGACGGCGAAAATCTCATTGCCATGTCCTTCATCGCTTGTTTACAAACGTTCACTGTGACATCTCGGTCGATTTGACCTGAAACATCGCGGTAAACTTGTCCGATCTCGACTTCTTTGCAGCGAATTAAATGTCGTCCCATACCTCCGTGACCATGAGCTTGCAGATAATTATTATCGGTTTAGCCATCTACCCGCCCCATCACTGCACGACGACGGGAATGGAGTAAAAACCGTGGAATGGCGTTTCGTTAATCATTTGACGCACATGAAAAAAACAAGAGCAGTCATTCTCAAGTTCAGTTTATTCGCTCACATTTATCATTTTCCTCTATACTTTTGGTGAAGGTTCAGAACATGTGTGTGCACGGCAGCGAGTCGTTGCTTATACCGTCTTGCTTAATGTCAACTCGAGAACAGTGGGCGAGTCAAAGTTGTCATTCATTGCGACCATGGCCTGCCCACTCCGTACATCGGCAACATGCCTTTCAGTACGCTGACTCGTGTTAATATCAATCAATATACCTCACAGCAAAACGAACCTAAAAATCGAAAATTCAATGATCTTTTTGAAGAATGCAATGTACGTTTTCACTTCATCTGCCCCTTGTTATAAATACTAGTGCATGTATCGCACGCGCCTTGAACTTATGAAGGCAGCACGACTGTAATCACACGTACCTCTGACCCGCGCGTACACGTAAATAAAATAATATTCGGCTTGATAGTATTTCCTAAACGATGGTTTTACTTAACAGTTAATTTTTGTTATTGTTTACCAGAACTATTGTACACTATATATTGTGTATTAAGTTGTTCATCCATTATGCAAACACACACGTAAATAATATAATGACATTACCGTTGGTGTTAACTCCTAAGACAGCTTTGAGATGAGATGAGGCAGCACAGCCCTGTCATGTAGTCTCAAACATTGATATGGCTTCTGTGGCAAAAATACACTATATGTCAGCAGTCACACTTGCAATTTGCACCGAAAAAAAAAAAAAGTCAGGAGAAACAACTGTGACATTTAATGTCTGCAACTATCACCTGGCACAAAAACAATTTTAGAAATAGGCCAAATTTGGTAATTTTGTGTCATATAAACCTTAACTTTTTCCATATTTCATGTCTATAGTTATAAAAAAAAATTATAAAAAAATTACACATAGCATTTTTGGTGGGAAAATGATGGTAAACTTCAGTTCTTGAAGTTGCTTTCTGAGTACCATTCTTTAAACCCCCATTCTGACGAGTAAATGGACCAATAACAAAGGTGAGTATAATCAGCATATAGACACATTTGACGAAAGATTCAGTAAACCTGCATCTTTCACTATTAGGAGATCGAACACCTGTTCATTTTTCAGCAATTTACAACTTCCCATGAATATCATAGTACTGACTACTAGTATGCCAAATTTATAATAATTTGAACATTGATCATGATTTTCTTGAAAACCTAGTCAGATTCGTGAGCAGAGAAGAAAAAGTCAAATTACGTATTAATAAACTCAACTCAATCACTGTTATGTAACAGTGATGGTGAAGAGCGAGAGAGCTAATTCGCTAATTTAAGATGTCGCTAAGGACTTCATTATAAATTCAAAATGGCGGCGTCTTTTTCTCCACACACACACACTTTGTAAACAACACAGAAAACGTAATAATCTGGTGTGCTTCCTTATTACACTTGACATTTTTTCTTTGTTTTTATGGAGGTGATAACTGCGCATTTGTTTTGACTGGCGACAGACAAGTATTATGGAAACGAGAAATTAACAAAGACGAGAGAGATTCGCTAAATCAACGTTTCGTTATTACGTATTTTTACCACAATTCGCTAAAATAGTATGTCGCTTTTTCAACATGTTTTACAGTATATTGTCAGAACCTCCATTATTTTACCGATGGCGCTTCGTGAAGTCCTTTGAGTTAGAAACCTACTTGTATCTAAAAAATATCAAATGCAATAAATTTGATTTTGATCAATATTTATTGGTGTTGAGTTAAAAACTGTGAGCTCACCAGCCTATTTTACAGTTATATTTCAGTGAATGGCAGCTTTGTTTTTCGCTATGATGAGTTCCTATGGTAGAGACTGAAGCGTAGCAGAGGTCGATGCATTCTTGTACTGCCTGAGTGCATACTTTGTGGTATTCTTGTGGTAACCTTGTTCTCCCCCGGCATGTTGCAAGCAGCTATATCGTGGTTACTAACGTGTGTCTGTATGTCTGTATGGAGTTGTTTCAGTAGCACTATTGCAGATAGACATTTAAATAGCGTTTTATTGAGGTCATTGGACACCAGATAAAATTGACATATTTAATGATCATATGTGGTCATGTGACTTCATTAAATATGCATAAATATCATATCTGGAGAAATATGGCAGAGATAGATATTTAACCAGTGCTTTGTTGAAGACATTGTACACTAGATCTGATTAACATATTTAATGATCATATGTGGTCATGTGACCTCATTAAATATGCATAACTATCATATCTGGAGAAATATGGCAGAGATAGATATTTAACCAGTGCTTTGTTGAAGACATTGTACACTAGATCTGATTAACATATTTAATGATCATATGTGGTCATGTGACCTCATTAAATATGCATAACTATGATATCTGGAGAAATATGGCAGAGATAGATATTTAACCAGTGCTTTGTTGAAGACATTGTACACTAGATCTGATTAACATATTTAATGATCATATGTGGTCATGTGACCTCATTAAATATGCATAACTATCATATCATATATATATATATAACCAGTGCGTTTTTGAGAATATTGGTCATGTGACCTCATTAAAATAAAGATGCTTTTACTGGTGGCTTTCTTTTTATTAAACATCTTTTTTGTGCTTGTAGTCATAATTGAAATTGCACTGTGTGAATGTTGTGTCCAGTGACTGGATTTTATTTCCACTGTTGTTTGGTGGAGCACTTCTGTTTACGACGATGTACACAAACGAAAATATTTGAATGTGACCTCATTAATGTGTCAATGTAATAATAATGATAATAAGGAAAAACAAGTCCAGATATGTTTTGAAATGAATGCAGATACACGTTTTTACAGAACAAATTCTCAATGTGTGGATGCTTAATGTACAGTCAAACCTGTCTATAGTGGCCACCCATGGGACTTTGAGATTTTGGCCTTTATAGACAGGTGGCCTTTCTATACAGGTTCACTAATTTATTCATGAATATTAATTAGGCATCGAATCAATGTATTAAAACAGATCTCGCAACCCCATTTGACACACGCTATTACACTACTGTACACAGTATGCAAACACTTTATTACAAATAAAAAAAGTTGATTTTTTTATTCAATTTTAAATTGTATTATGTAAATTAAAATCATTTCACAAAAGTCGATCATTGCGCAATAATGAGTAGTATCGAAAATTAAATGTTTGAAGATTTGTACAGTAAAGTTCATGTTCAGCAGCAGTTTTAGTATCATTTCCTACTAAAGAAATCACTCAGCTTGCTTTGCTTGGCTATTCCGAATTTGTATGTTTCTTTTAATATTTATTGTGTCTCGTACACTAGTAAATCGGAATGTCTCTAGGCTATAGCAAATTCTTTCAAGGAGAAGGGAAAGGGACAGTTAGCTGTGCTTTATTGATCCCTACAACTTATACGAAAAGAACACTTATCTATTGCAGTGATGGATCTCCTTCCATTTACGTGACAACTTGAAAGTTTCCTTCCCAATCACAATACCCTTAACATTTTGTTTATTTTTTTTCAAAAATCGTCCTGACCTACCTCACTTGCAAAATGATTGATCCCTCAAAACATTACTTTGCGCAATCAAAATCTGGGCGACTTCCGTGTTATTGTACTGCTGCAACAATAGAAACATGTGAAATATGCCTATGACTTTGGCCGTCAAACTAAGCTCAATTTAACATCATTGTTAAAAACATCTATTGTTACATGTACCGAGGCAGTAGTGACCGAAAAAGAAATTTGAACGAATTTTAATAGTTGGACAACGAGACGATACTGCACACACATTCCCTCACAGTGATCGATACACAGTAACGGAAACGACTCTACTTTTTGACCCGAGTTATCATAACCCCAGAAGAACAAGAAAGCACATGCGCAAGGCTAATTAGCATAATTTATTTGGATGGGAAAAACAACAGGCATGGCAGTTATGTTGATTTTTTTCCTTTTGCTATCAGTTCCAGTTACTTGCATATTTGTCGATATTTATAGGAGTTCAAAGTGAATAAATATCGATACTAAATAACAAGTCAGTTGTTATGTTTTTTTGTTGGTAATCAATTCGATTGGCATTCCGATTCACCATGGCCACATAGGGACTGTGCCCCGGCGATTCACAAAACGTTTCAGGTCGTCATCGTTGTGGTTTCTCGATTCATTGAACAAAACCCCCTGGTACAAAGCACTTCTGTCCAAGTTATTCCCGCGGTACCGTATACATATTTAGACAAAACATTAATGACAGCATGTTTTTATCAGGACACTTTCAAATTCTTAATTATGTTTTTGGCGTTCTCGGGCCATCGGTACGAAAACGTACTAACTTTGTCCTTTGTGATCTTTGGAGCTTATTAGTTGGCTGGGGTTTAAGACAGTACGCTGCAAGACATCCGGCAACTATGTCCGTTATATGCAGTTCAACTGATCCTTGCGGCCGCTGAAGCCTGGCCGTTGACTCCCGTGTGCGAAGCACATAATTGGAGTCTTTGCAGTTAGTGTGTCTGTATGTGTGTGTATGTGTGTCTGACTGTTCCACTGTTATCTGAAGAACCATACATCGGTTTTTGATGAAACTTGGTGCATAGATGCTCTGGGCCAATGTGCAGATTTGATTAGGTTTTGGTAAAAATTCGTGCATATTAATTACCTATTTTGCATGATAATTA